GTCTCTCCCTGTGCTGAGGAATAAAGAGATGTGCGAAGAAGGGATGAAAAAGGAACATTACCTTTCCAGAGTCTGCTGCTTGTATAAGCTTTGACTTGGCAAATTTAGTTTTGTGGCCTCTACTGCCCAAGTACAGGCTGTAAGCACCTTTTCTTCTACCTAACCAGAATACAGACCAGTCTGAGGTTGGGGTAAGGGTAGGTCAGGGCTGCTGTGCCCAGGTGTGTGTTTGGTTAGTAGTATGTATACAGCCTCACTGATAGCCAGAGAGGAAAATAGGCTTGGTATTTGTGACTTCGGATCTGTTGATCTCTTTTTTTTTTCTAGACCCCATCATGGGGATACATGTGCCTAGACTGGGGCAGAGTGAAGATGGAGTGCTATAGGTCCAGGAAGCAGTGTCTTTTTTTTTTTTAATCATTTTTTTTAATTTTTAATAACTACATAATTAGAAGAAGCATTTCACTACAACTTTAACATATTCAGTAACACACTCCAGAGCGAGAGTACATCTCTTTCACAAGTGGGTGCAAGTTTCTAGGTTCACAGTTGAATTAATACAGTTATACAATATTGAACTCAGTATAAGCCCTGTAAGACATAAAATTGAATGAGTTTTTAACCTTTAAAAAAGATCTCCATTTCATTTTAGAATATAGCAATGTCTTTTCTTTTTAATTTTTATTGTTTTTATTTTGTGTATGAGTATATTGCCTGCATGTATAGAAGTGCACCTGTGTCATTCAGTGCCCACAGAGGTCAGAAGAGGGTTTCGGATTCTCCTGGAACTGGAGTTGCATATGATTTTTAGCCACTATGTGGGTGCTGGGAATAGAACCCAGGTCCTCTGCAAGAGCAGCCAGTGCTCTTAACCGCTGAGCCATCTCTCTAGCCCCCCCCCTTTTTTTTTTCTTTTCTTTTTTTTTAAGGACAGTGTCTTAGAGCATGTTTGCATACACTAAGAGTCCTTTTCCTCCCCACATGGTACTCTGATCTGTGTGAGACATAATTGTAAAATGATTGCTTAGGTACTTTTCTTTGTGGCGTATCTTCATAAAACTCTTTTTGGTTTGGGTTTGCCCCCTTAGCAGAGCCCTGGCAGACAGCTATGTTCATCTCTCCTGTTACCAACTTTCATAGGTCCCATGTCAGTAGCACCAGGCACACAGGTCATTCCCAGCAAGGCCTTCACAGTAACCTTGTGAGGTGAGAGGAATTCCCGGTTTTCCAACATGGGAACTGAGGCTGAAGGAATGAGAGACTGCCAGAGCCTCACAGCTGGAATTTAAGACCCTCATGGTTCATCTTCGCTCTCCTACATAGGCCTGACAGCTTCATGTCTGAGGCAGACTTTTCTGATGGAAAGAGGCAAACCTCCTCCAGGGGCAGGGAAGAGAGCAAAGCTCCCAGGATCGCCTGGTGTACCAGACAGTCTAGCCTATGAAAAGTTTTTTAGCCCCCAGAGCTGGCATGAGATGCTAGTTCTTGGCATCAGTTTGGTGGTTCCTGATACCCCAGAGACCTTCAAGATATGCCTGTAATCTCAGCACTCTGGAGGATGAGTCACGAGGATCGTGAGTTCTAGGGCAGCCTGTGCTGCCATAAAGAGACTGTCGAACAAAAAGAAAGAGAGGTGTGTGCCAGGGAGGAAGGGAAGACCAAATCTTTATTTCTTTGTAAAAATTTGTGAAGATTAAAGGACTGGGTCTTCTTACTTCCCAGGCAGCGCACTTTATTATAGTCTGCCATAGCCCTGTTTGGAATGGCAATACTCAGGGTACACCTAAGCCTAGATAAGCCTCCCTTGGCCTGAAGCCCTGGTCCTTGGAGGAGTGAGCATCTGGAAGCTGAAAGCTCCTGATGGCTGTACTAGCCAGGTTATGCCCACTCAGTTTGGGGTGAGCCTCCAATTGAGGCCCTCCCCTCTCAGCCCCCCCAGGGCCCAGTTGTGGAATCTGCCCTTACCTTCAGAGACTTCTTCCTCCTCATTCCCCCAGCCCCTGCATAACCGGGACCTTCTCAGTGTCTTGGCTTTCTTTCCAGCATTCTCCCAAACATTTCTCTTCTGTGGTTCTTGGGAGTCGAGGGGAGTGGGAGGAGGCTGGCTCACAGATCTCCGGGCATAGGGCATGAGTCTCCTGTTCCTCCAAGCAGTCCTGTCCCCCGCCCCACTTGTCATTTATCACACAGAAGGTCTCACCCAGACCATGGCTGGCTCAGCCTTCTGTTCCCACTCTGTAGCTAGAGTAGAGGCCATGTCTGACTAGGGAATCTCCTCTCCATGGTGACAGTTCTTCGGGACCAGTCTGGGCTTTCTCAGATAAGGGAACCTATTGCATTTGTTCTGGGGTCCAGGAGGATGGGTGGAGGCAGCACAGGCTGTGTTTCAAGGGCCTTGTAGAATATCTCATTTCTGACAGACCCTTTTCAACTTACTTTTGACTTGGTAGACTTGGAGGGCATCAGAGCCAGGCTGGTGTCTCCTTATAGGAGGAAGTACAAGTGATCACATACGATCATTGTGGGCTTGGGAGAGTAGTGTGTCTGGCCTCCCTGCTCTATGCCTGCCTGATCCCTATTTAAGCATGTGCCTGCTCTGACTTCAGACTGGACTTTGTAGAAATGTGTAGAACAAAGAACAGGCTGTAGCTCACCTAGGACCCACTGACTGCCTGTGTACACACACACACACACACACACACACACACACACACACACACCCATCCATCCATACCCATGTGTGTACAAGAGTCTACAGCTGCTTGCTGAGTGGTAACCACTTTATTGTGGACTGTCCGGGGGGGACCGGAGAGCAGAAGCAGGAAAGCCCCTACTATGGACCATGTAGACCCTGGCCTGTATGCACCGGAAAAATATTCTAGTTTCTGTTTCAGAGGGCAGAATTTATGGTGTTTGTGAGGTGTCTGATCTGGGCATTTCCCCTAATGGAAGTTCTTCTTTCCATCTTTAGAAACTGTTCTCAGTCTGGGATTTTATGACCCAGATTCCCACTCCCTATTTATACCTGAGTAGAATGACTCAGTTTTACTCCATCCCCATTCCTCCCCTACCCATGTGCCTGTGTTTTACTCATTTGTTCATTCAGTCATTCAGCATGTAGTAGAGGGGCTCTACTTGCCCAGGGGGAGATGAGGAACATGTATTTTCATAGCAGCATGAGACATTAAGAGGATGATCACTGCAGGCTGGTGTTTCTCATTTGGTAGGAGAGAGCAAGGGGGAGAATGTAGTCAGGCCAGGGCCCAGGGTGACAGGGGCAGAAACATGTGCTGTTCTTACTGTGGGTGTGGCTTAGTTTGGATGGGTCAAAGAAGAGGGGAAGGAAGGCAGAAGCTCAGAGGTAAATCTCTGAGCTCTATCATAAAGAACCTTTAGCACTTGGGAGGGGAGTAAATGGATTTACAAGACAGGTCCAAACTGTTTTGTGAAGGTTCAGAGGAGTCAGGAAAGGGTGGCAGTTTGGTGAGAAGTAAGGCCAGCAGCAGAAAAATCAGGGCTTCCGAAAGCTGGCGGGCTTTGCTAAGGGGACAGAATTGTGGCGGTAGATCTGGGGTGAGGGTCAGAAGTGATGCCACTGTGACCATGCTCAAGGGACAGGACAGAAAGAATGCAAGCTGGTGGGTGGGGACTGGCCAATCAGTCTAGGGGCAGAACATTTTAAGTTCCCAAGCTGAAGAAAAGCTCACAGTCATGTCTGTTGGCCAGGCCTAAGTTTCTTCCATTTGACCTGATTGTCCCCGAATCTCTCATCCTGGGCTGAGTGTTTCCTGCTGGCCAAGGAGAAGCTATGGCAAGATCTCTCAAACCTGGGCTCAGAGCTTCCACACCTGCTGGCCATGGAGCAGCTCCCTCCATGTGGTGCACACAGGGCGGGTGCTTTCAGCTGTGACTGTGGTCTCACCAGCATCCTCTTGGCTGCTCCTGTTACCACCCTTCACAAGGGAAGCTGAGGGACAGAGTAGTTGTCCCTCTGCTAAGACTACACAGTTAATGTGTGGTAGGATTAGGGTTCTTCCTCACCTCAGTGTCTGTGAACACTGTTTCTACAACCCTGTTGTCCTGAGAAACTCAGGTCCTTAGATCTTCAGTTGATAAGACTGCAACTGGGAGAAATTAAATGAGTCTCTAGCAAAGAGTTGCTCCATCTTTCACTTAAGTTAGTGGCCAAAGCAGATTGTTTGCCACTCAGGCCCATTTACTTGCTTCACCTGTGCTTGTGAGAGCATTTGAGGACTCTTTCATAGCTGAGATAAGGAAGTGGACTAAGCCCAGATACCTACCTGATGTACTTGGACAGCCAAGGCCTTAGCAAGAACTAGATCTTTTGCTCAGACTCATATGGGCATGTCTTTGGAGTATGGGATATTTCAGGACTTAACCATTGTTCAGGACTTGAGCCAACATTCTCAGGGATTCTGAAGCCCATTTGGACCTACCCAGCCCTGCCCCTAGGACTTTATGATTGGGTCCTTGTGTGTGTTGTGTTAGGAAGTGGTCCATATGAAATAGCTTTGGGTCCCCGTTATTCCTTCTGGAATCTTCACTCTTCTCCAGGTCAAAGAGTCCAGGCTGCACTCTCAGCAATAGAATAAAGATGGGTAAAGAATACCACACAGACTTCTCTGTTGCCAGAGAACCCTGTCAGCCTTTAGACCAAGTGCAAGCACTCACTCATGCTCCCCGCCTTTGTTCTTTTTTTTTTTTTTTTTTTTTTGAGCCACTATGTTGGCTCAAGTTACTATGTTGTCTTGGCTGGTCTTGAACTCAGAAATCTGCCTCCTGAGTGCTGAAATTAAAGGCGAGAGCCATTACATCAGCCCATCTCTTTTTTTATCATGTGGGCTGCCTGTGAGTGGTTTTGAGTTCTATCTCAGAGAGGGGAATGTCGAATCTGGGGGGCACGATTAAGAAAGGCAGGCTGTCCTTTTGATAGTTTGGGGAGACCCCAGCCTGACGTTGGCCCTTCACTACCTTCCTAGTTGATATTCGTGAAATCAAAGAGATCCGCCCAGGGAAGACTTCTCGAGACTTTGACCGCTACCAAGAAGACCCTGCTTTCCGGCCAGACCAGTCACACTGCTTTGTCATCCTCTATGGAATGGAATTCCGCCTGAAGACCCTAAGCCTGCAAGGTGGGAGACAAGGGCTTGGAGGAGGCAGGGTATACTCTGGGTAAGGGGAAAGCCCACCAGCCCTTGATCATATGGGAGGCATATGCCCTTACTGTTGCTCTGCTCACAGCCACATCTGAGGATGAAGTGAACATGTGGATCAAGGGCTTAACTTGGCTGATGGAGGACACATTGCAGGCAGCCACACCCCTGCAGATTGAGAGGTAAGACTCATCTCTGATGTGGTTAAGGCCAGATGTCTTAGAACTAGACAACAGAGACTTCAGGCTTTGCCCTAGCTGAAGAAATGGCCCTTACTTTAGACTTCTCTCTCTCCAGGTGGCTCCGGAAACAGTTCTACTCAGTGGACCGGAACCGTGAGGATCGGTAGGTTCTCATGCCCAGCAGGTGGGTAGAGATGCCTTTGAGTCAGAGGACCCAAAGTAGTGACCTGCCTCAAGTGGACCAAGGAGTTCTAGCACAAGCATTGCAAGCTGATGAGGGAAGCCAGTGTTCTCTCCCAATGGGCAGAATGTTTGCATAAAACTGGCTCTGAGTGTCCTATAAGGGTGGCTAGTAGTACATGAGGGAGTACTTCAAGGTGCTTTCAGGCCTGGAGTGCCCCATAGGCACCAAGAGATTGGGCAGCAAAGACCAGATGGCATGCTCTACTATACCATGATAAAGGCCCTCTGATGGTCCCAAGAGGCAAGCAGTCATGGGGAGGTGCAGAGGAGTGACATGCCCTGACTTAGAGTTTGCTCAGGATCATGTTGGCTGCTGAGTAGAAGGCTCTTAGAAGCTGTTCACCAGTATAGGTAAAGGACGAGAGGGCTTGGATTGGGTTAATTATGATAGGAATTAGCTGGATTTGGGCTGCATTGTTTTGTTTAAAATTGAGCCAGAATAATTTCCTGACCTGTTCATTTGGGGATGTTGAAGAGGGAACTCAAAGATCAGTAGGCTTTTTGGCTTGAGCAGCTAGAAAATGAAGTTGCAGCCTGAGACAAGAAGACAATGGGAGGAAGACATTGTGGGGAACTCAGGGGTTCAGTGTGGATAAAGGTTTTATGATACACATTAGATGTGCAGGTAGAGGTAGAGTCACCAAGTGGGTAGAATAAGTTCAAAGGAGAGGTTGGGGCTGGAGGAGGTAACATAGGTGTGTATAGGTGATATGGAAAGCCTGGAGGCAAATGAGATTGCTTGGGGTACCTGGATATCAAGAAAAGGGAAGAGGCCCAATGGCTGACTCCAGACAACTCCAAACTGGGGTTGAGGAGGGATTCGTGAAGACTGTAAGTTAACCCTGTGTTTAATGACATGATGGGTGTAGCATCTGCAGCCAGTGCTGAGCAACTTAGGGCTATAAAGGAAGTGTGGGTAATTCTTCTAGGAGTTTTACCACAGAGCGGGAGGGGGCAACAGCTGTAGAAATAAGCAGGGCAAGATGGAAAGACAGTCTGTATCATGGTGGGAGTCTACAGACGGAAAGATGGTAAGCAGAGGCTTCTGTCCCCTTCCTTGAAAGTGGGGCCTTTGGCAGCACCTACCTGTCTGACAGGGTCAAGTAACCCAGTACCTGCTCAAAGCAAGCATTTACTCTACAGCAGTTGACTGCTGCTACAGAGCTGAGTGCCCCTCAGGGAAAGTTGGTGCTTCTGTCAGACTGAGGGTTCAGCCAGCCCCCTGTCCAGGCCAGGAGCTTTCCCAGGCAGCAACAGCTGCATTTAGCTAAGTGTGCCCACCCTTCCCTCCCTGCTGGTACTTACATTGGGTTGCTGATGAACCTAGGGGCTGTGGATTCCAAGATACCCCAGTGGGTGGCAGGTATTGTGAGTGGGCACTGCCTTCTGCCCTGGACAGGCTGACCACCATCCATAGAAGGGGAGGTGGGGGCATGAGCAGTCCTGGGTATGATTGTTGGAAATTGCTTCTCTTCTGTGCCTGACCTGCTTACCCTTGGTCACGTCTTGCTAGAATATTGGTTCACTGAGGCCCAGAGAAAGGAAGGAAGGAACTTCTGTTGGTCACAATGAATTTTTGATCCAGTTTTGCCCTTAGGACTACAAGTTCTCAGAACCTAGTTGTTTACTGTTCAGCTTTAGGCGGGGCTCAGCCTACAGCTCAGAAAGATATCCCTTTTTTCTTAGTATATCAGCCAAGGACCTGAAGAACATGTTGTCACAAGTCAATTATCGGGTCCCCAACATGCGCTTCCTCCGAGAACGGCTGACGGTAAGGGCCACTCAGGACTATCTACTGGCCAGTCAGAGGAGGCTAGTAGTTCCTCAGCGAGGGGCTGACTGGCATTCCTGCTTTGTCCCACATAGGACCTGGAACAGCGCAGCGGGGACATCACCTATGGACAGTTTGCTCAGCTGTACCGCAGCCTCATGTACAGCGCACAGAAGACGGTGCATGAGTCATTTGCCCTCCCTTGCTCTTGCCCTTGTGTCTTACTTCTTCCTCAGCCCTGCATGCTCAGCCCTGCTGCCCTGCTTGGGGACTTTTCGACGCCATTACTCTACCCTCCTCCTGAAGTCCACCCCCATCTGCTTCCCCAGCCTTTTTTTCCTAAGAGCCCCTTTCCTCCATGGCCTCCAGGGCTCTAGCCCTGACTAGATTCTGTTTTCTACAGATGGACCTCCCCTTCTTGGAAGCCAGCACTTTGAGGTTTGGTTTGGAATAGGGCATTGGTTCTCCTCTGGATGATTCCAGATCCAGATGGGAAGCAGCGGGAGGGTGAGGCATGGTGGACTCTTTGGAGAGCTGTACTAAGTGGGACTTGGGTTGTGCTTTGCAAGGGTCCCCTTGTCTGTGGACTTTGACAACCAGCTAACAGCCAGACACTTATCTTCTCTCCCTGCAGAACTGGGGAGCGGCCAGAGCTCTGTCGGGTATCTCTTCCCGAGTTCCAGCAGTTTCTCCTTGAGTACCAGGGGGTATGGCTGGGCAATGGCTGGGCCAGGGAGTCAGGCCAAAGGGCAGGCTTATCATTAGAGGCCTTTCCATGACTCCCTTTCTGCCTAGCAGGAACTATGGGCAGTTGACCGCCTTCAGGTGCAGGAATTCATGCTCAGTTTCCTCAGAGACCCCTTGCGAGAGATTGAGGAACCATACTTCTTTTTGGATGAGGTGAGCCCCACCTTCCACATCATTCTGCAGAAAAAGTAGGTGGGATGAGCAGAGCTCACCTGGGCCTTAGGTGCTCCTACTGTTCCCTTGCCTAGCTCAGTTGACTGAGCACCCTCTTGTTCTCTTGACTCCATCCCGGCGGCAGCCAGGACTCACTTTCTTGCTCCTTCCACATTTGCTCCTGCAGTTTGTTACCTTTCTGTTCTCCAAAGAGAACAGTGTGTGGAACTCCCAGCTGGATGCCGTGTGCCCAGACACCATGAACAACCCTCTCTCCCACTACTGGATCTCGTCCTCGCATAACACGTGAGTGTGGCTCTCTCTGTCCATCCAGCCTCTTCTGGGAGGGAGGAGGGTCCACTAAACCACACCTCTCCTTGCTTATCTAGGTACCTGACTGGGGACCAGTTCTCCAGCGAATCCTCACTGGAAGCTTATGCTCGCTGCCTGAGGATGGGCTGTCGCTGCATTGAGTGTGCGTGGGGCCCGGGGTTGGGGAGGGAAGGTAGAAGGCCTACCCGCTTGACCATGATGATGTTGCTCCCTAGTGGATTGCTGGGACGGCCCAGATGGGATGCCAGTCATTTACCACGGGCATACCCTTACCACCAAGATCAAGTTCTCAGATGTCCTGAACACAATCAAGGAGCATGCTTTCGTGGCCTCAGAGTGAGTGGGTGTAGAGGACATGGGGGCAAACTTAACCTCTAGCCCTCTCACTCCTGGGACCCCTCACATGGCTTGCCCCTACATTCCTGCTCTTCCTCTTCTACTCTTGCTCAAGTCATTGTTTCCTACTTCTTACCTCTGTTCCCTGCATCTTTGCATGGCCACCTTCATGGGTCCTCTTCAGCCTGTGGGAAGCATTAAGTTCTTCCTCAAAGAAACTTGTCCATAACTGTGGTCTCGGGTATCCTGTCAGCTCCTTTCCCTTCGTAGTCCAGAAAATTATCTGTGTTCCCTATGAGCCATTCTTCAGTCCCTATCCACTACCAAACCTGCAGTCCCCAGTCTCAACTCACTGAAAAGATCTTCAAGCTAGGCTGCTTCTCATCTTTCCCAAAGTATTTGGTGTGGAGTATGTCTTGAACTGCTGAACAGCTCTATAGCTAGACTAACTCTGAGGTTACCTTTTGCAGCACTTGACACTCTTTGGTTCCTGCTGCCTAGCTGTCTCTTGAGGAGCTCTGTTAACCTACCCAGGGCTACCTCCTCTCTAGGAGAGGTCCTGTGGTCAAAGTGCCCCCAGTCCTTGGCTCTCATCATTTCACACTGTAAGGGCCTATTTGGGCTAAGACTTGATCCCACAGAACCATGGGGTCTGTATCATTGTACTCACCTATTGCCCTTTAGGTACCCAGTCATCCTGTCCATTGAGGACCACTGCAGCATTGCCCAGCAGAGGAACATGGCCCAGTACTTCAAGAAGGTGCTTGGGGACACACTCCTCACCAAGCCTGTGGACATTGCCGCTGATGGGCTCCCCTCACCCAACCAGCTCAAAAGGAAGATTCTTATTAAGGTGTGGCAAAGGTGGTGGAAGGAGCCCACACTTCCCAGTGTCTCTCTGCTTGCATTTTGGTCCTGGGTGAAGAGGTGGGGCAGGCTTTCCTATGACTTGCTCTGCTCCCTTAGCACAAGAAGCTGGCCGAGGGCAGTGCCTATGAGGAAGTGCCTACTTCTGTGATGTACTCTGAGAATGACATCAGCAACTCCATCAAGAATGGCATCCTCTACCTGGAAGACCCTGTGAACCATGTAAGGCCTAGCTGAGCTGGGCATAGTGGAGCAGGGTGATGGGGGCTTTGGCTCACAGTTCCCTTTTGGTCTGTTCCAGGAATGGTATCCCCACTACTTCGTTCTGACCAGCAGCAAGATCTACTACTCTGAGGAGACAAGCAGTGACCAGGGCAATGAGGATGAAGAGGAGCCAAAGGAGGTAGAATTGTCCCAGGAATTCAAGACAAGTCAAAATTGAGACAGGATTACTATCTTTGCTCTTTCTCTCCTGTCATAGGCCAGTGGGAGCACAGAACTGCACTCCAATGAGAAGTGGTTCCATGGGAAGCTCGGGGCTGGACGAGATGGGCGGCACATTGCTGAGCGCCTCCTCACCGAGTACTGCATTGAGACCGGGGCTCCTGATGGCTCCTTCCTAGTGCGAGAAAGCGAGACCTTTGTGGGCGACTACACACTGTCTTTCTGGTAGCCACACCCAGCACCATGCATATGCTTAGTCCATGTATGTTCTTAGACATACCCAGAGATAACCACAGCTAGCATTTCAGCCTTTGGTTCCAGGCTTTTCTGTGGAATATAATTTCTTTCTCATACATGCATTTTCATTTTTATCCTGTATGAAGACCTCCTGAAGGGTTGCCCACTGTCCAAGTTCCTTAGGAGAATGCTCTCTGACTCTTTGAGACTCTGTACTTTACCTGGGGTGGAACTTGGTTTCTGGAACACTGGCCCATTTTTCATGCCTCTCCCATCCTCTGTTTTCCCTAGGCGGAATGGGAAAGTCCAGCACTGCCGTATCCACTCTCGACAGGATGCCGGTACCCCCAAGTTCTTCTTGACAGATAACCTTGTCTTTGACTCCCTCTATGACCTCATCACACACTATCAGCAGGTGCCACTTCGCTGCAATGAGTTTGAGATGCGCCTTTCAGAGCCTGTTCCACAGACAAATGCCCACGAGAGCAAAGAGTGAGTAGAGGGATAGGGGAGGTGGGCAGGGACACAGGCATGCTATCAGGGCCTGACTTTGCCTGTCTTCAGGTGGTACCATGCAAGCCTGTCGAGAGCTCAGGCTGAACACATGCTGATGCGTGTACCACGTGATGGGGCTTTCCTGGTGCGGAAACGGAATGAGGCCAACTCATACGCTATCTCCTTCCGGTGAGAAGTGCTGGAGGTGGTATGGGTTCTTAGTAGGGTCTGGACTGCCCTGACCCTGTTCACTGTTGTGTCGTTGCGAAGGGCTGAGGGAAAGATAAAGCACTGCCGAGTCCAGCAGGAGGGCCAAACTGTGATGCTGGGGAACTCCGAGTTCGACAGCCTTGTCGACCTCATCAGCTACTACGAGAAGCACCCCCTGTACCGCAAAATGAAGTTGCGCTACCCCATCAACGAGGAGGCACTGGAGAAGATTGGCACAGCAGTGAGAAAGCCATGGGGGGCATGACAGTGCAGTTAGAAGACACCCAGAATCTGACAGTCTCTGGATAATCTGGATGTGCTCACAGCGAGTGCTGGGTGCTTTGGAGTTCATAGCAGGAGCTCTGAGATAACATGCCACAGTGTAGCTACCAGTAGGATGTCTTAGAGGGAGTGACACCTAAGCTGTGCTTGGAAAGAATGGGGTGGGCATTCGAGCAGGATCCATCCCTATGAGCCCAGGGGTAGGTAACAAAGGTCCAGGAAATCACAGGCAGAGGTGTGCACACACCAGAAATATGCCCATGGGCTTGGCCTGGGTGTTCTGGCAAGAGAAGCAGCTACACAGAGCAGGTGTATAGATCCCTCAGGCCTATGGGAAGATTCCAGGGGGCTAAGAAGGTGCTTCTGGGAATGCAAGGGTTGGTGAGGGCCCTGGACCAGTGTTGTGGTTTTTAGTAAAAACAGGCATCTCATGCAGGATCAGTTGAAAGAGTTGTCATTAGTGACATTTGGTAGCCAGGAAGGGTCCTGCTTTTCCGAGACAGAAGCTCAAATGGTGGGAAAGTGAACAGGAGGGCCTTCTTCCTAACTTGGGGCTCAGCCACTGAGCAAAATCATGGAGTACATGGTGCCTGTGGTAGATCAGCTGCAGGCAGCTCAGGAGGCATCAGCATTTGGGTCTTCAGAAACTGAGGTGGTAGACCTTAGGTAAGAATGTGTAGGAGAGGGGATGAATCCTGGAGTTGGGGATCCTGGTAGGTCAGGTGTCAGCGAACTAGGCAGACTTGATGACTTGGAGAAGAGGGCCAGGTAGAAGCAAGCTGTGCTTCAGAGAAGGAAGTGTGAGCTAGCAGGTGCTTTTATCTGAACACTGGGGTGTTAACATCACGTTCTGTCCTGATACCAGGAGCCTGATTACGGGGCACTGTATGAAGGCCGCAACCCTGGCTTCTATGTGGAGGCAAACCCCATGCCAACTTTCAAGGTACAAATGTGTCCTCAGCACAGGAAGCCCAGTAGAGGGAGGGGAGTTCCCTGGCTGCTTGGGGCTTGTATTTCTGTGTTCTGGCCCATCTGTGGTTGACATGGAGAAGTGGTAGTTGTGGTTTTCTGAGGCCCAAGAGGTTGTGAGAATTGTGTGGTTGGCACATGACCGCAATTCTCCCAGGGGCAACCAACTCTAACCCGTGTTTTGGGTCAGCACTGACCCTTCTTCACTGATCCTTCTGAGTGAGCTGCATGTCTTGCATGGACAGGTGCAGAGCAGAGGCTAGAAGGCACACTGGCCAGTCATTCCCTTCTTGATGAAGATATGTCAGAATCTTCCTGGTTTTGCCCTTTAGTGTGGGGGAGATTGCCCTGTTCCTTTGACAGCAGAGTGCTGTCAAAGATGAGTGATAGAGTCCCAGCCATGCCTAGAAGACTGCAGGTCCAAGGGAGGTACACAGGGCCACTGCACACAAACTCTTCCTGTCCTACCAGCCCTGACTCCTGGGAGCAGGTCCAGTGCAGGGTTCCTTGGAGAAAGCCCTCCTTCTTCTTGTCCTGTTTGTCCGGAAGCTTCCCACAGGGCAGAATTGAAAACTCTGCCTCGGATTGGTTCCCAACAGTGGCACCTCTCACTGGCCTGAGCCCAGGCTGGGAAGATCAGGCACATGTGCATATACTTGTGCTATGCTGGGTCCAGTGGTAGGGAAGGCCCCTCTGCTTTATTTACCCTGTACGACCCCACGTGTCTCACCTCTACAGTGTGCAGTCAAAGCCCTCTTTGACTACAAGGCCCAGAGAGAGGATGAGCTGACCTTCACCAAGAGTGCCATCATCCAGAATGTAGAGAAGCAAGATGGTGGCTGGTGAGCCTGGCCTCTGGGCTGGAAAGCCTGTGGTATGGTGGGAGTCAAGGGGGTCCCTGCGGAGTTATCACCAAGAACACCTTGACAGCATGCTTTGTACAACATCTAATGAGCACCAGCAGGCTCTACCTTGGCCTGGTTTGGGTGTAGGAGCCCCCAACAAAGGATATCCTTGTGGGAGTTCAGGGTGGTTGCTGGAGTCAGCGCCCTGTGGTACCTGCAGGTGGCGAGGGGACTATGGTGGGAAGAAGCAGCTGTGGTTCCCTTCAAACTACGTGGAAGAGATGATCAGCCCAGCAGCCCTGGAGCCAGAGAGGGAGGTACGTCAAGAGCCACGTGTGGCACAGGTTTTTCTGTCCCCATGTTCTACTGCATGTGTCTCACACCCAGTCCCAGGTCTGTATGTGTATATTCAGACACCTGTCACGTGAGCAGTCACATGTGAAAGTCACAGAACCTGTGTGGCCACAACCTGGCCTCCATTCTACCTGTGCTACACTTGGCTAGTCATGAGTACACACAGAAATTCCCTCATGCTGACCATCCTGTGGCTTTACTTCCCATAGCACCTGGACGAGAACAGCCCCCTGGGGGACTTGCTGCGGGGGGTCTTGGATGTGCCAGCCTGTCAGATTGGTGAGTCCTGAGTCCTTTCCCTTGCTCCCTGTTCCTTAGCATCAGGTTCTCCTTTGTGGCTCCCATTCCTGGGGAGAAAGCCAGTGATTGAATCCCCAAAGGCTACCCCTATATTCTGGATACCCCAGGCTCTCGTCACCCTTGCTTTGACCCTGCATGAGCACCCTGTGCCAGGTACAGTGGAGTCAAGTTGGCAGAGATGCTAAATGCAGGCTGATGCCCCCTCCCTACTGGTTTGAACCCTAGGATTGGGAGGCGTGGAAATAGGGCAGAGGAGAGGTTGAAAGATATGGCCCCCAAGGAAGAGGCACAAGTCACAGCTGAGTGGGAGCTTTGGTTCCCCCATAACTGGTGTGATATGTCTGAGCTGTAGGATCCTCTGTAAAATGGGCCTATACACCAGTCCTGCCTGCTTATGAAGTGTGACCAGGAGGAAATGGAATGAAGTAGAAGTCCTTTGAGCCAGTGTCTAAGGTGTGGAGTGGAGGACAGAGACAGCTAGCTGTTCCTAGCTCTTGTATTATCTCACCCTCACAGCCATTCGTCCTGAGGGCAAGAACAACCGGCTGTTCGTGTTCTCCATCAGCATGGCATCAGTGGCTCACTGGTCCCTAGATGTTGCAGCTGACTCGCAGGAGGAGTTGCAGGACTGGGTGAAAAAGATCCGGGAAGTGGCCCAGACTGCAGATGCCAGGGTGAGAACCTGCCACACCTTGGAATGTGCTGCTGGGGGCTGTGAGGGCAGCATGTGGGCTTGTCAGGTAGCCAAGACCTGCAGCTCCCCAACCAACTCCTCAGAAGGCAGCAAACTGCCTGTGTTGTCTATACCATGCCCCAACCCTCGGTAAGGGACCAGAAGAACAGACTTAAGGTGACAATGTTGTATGCTTAGAAAATGTTGGGCTTGAAGTACTGTATATCTCCTGAGTGAGTTTGCTTAGTGGGCAGTTGAATATATATAATTCAAGAGGTAAGAGGGCTCATAGCAGGAGTGGAGTCAGAGGCTTAGAGATGAGATGGTAAAGGTAAGAAGAGGGCTTGGATTTAAAGGCCACTTATGACAGGGTGTGTGCCTCGAACGGGCAAGCAGAGAAACCCAGGGACATCAGGGCTCTGCTGTGCTGAGGACTGCAAACGTGCAGTAAGAACCTAGAAGTGTCCATTGGCTTTAGCAGCAGCAGATAATCCCATTGCTGGCTGTTGAGATGTCATAGTGCCATGGCCAGGTTGGAAGGCAGTGGGTAGCAGGAAGTCTGCAGTGGCTGATCATGAAGAAGTGGAGGCTGCCGTTTGTGGATAGGAGGAGAACTCAGTCTTGGTTGGACGGAAAGACCAGCCTTCTAGAGGGGACCTAGTGAAAGAACAAAGCATTCACAAGTGTTTAGGAACCTGTGTTTCATGGACGTCCTCCAGTATATTTGGTGGGCAGACCTCTGACTGCTTTGCAGAACAGACATGTGCCAAAAAGGGAGGGTTGAGGTGGCTAAGGATTTTGTCAATGTGTCCTGAAAGACAAAGTACTAAAAAGACAGCATCTGAAGGGCTGGATCCAAGGTCTAGGCCAGAAAAGGGAGAACCTGAATAGAGCGACTGAGACAGGAAAGTGGAAACAGTGGGGTTGCGGGGGGAGGGGGCAGTCTGAGTGGGCTGTACCTGAGACTAGTCTCTACAGAAGGATGGGTGGGGGTGTGACTGAAGTGGCAAGGGTCATCTTAGGTCTACAGCATACTTGGCAATGTGTGTGCCTAAGTGTTTCAGGGAACCAGGAAGCAACTTCAGTTTTTGCTGAAGTAAAAAGGCTGGGTAAAGAGTGATCAGAAAGCATCACTGGGAAGGCGTTGCCAACCTTTAGATCCCTGTGAGGTCATTTGGGACAGGTTGTGGTGAGGATTCCATCTCAAGAGTGTTGGGGAACAAGTGTGTCCTGAGGGACAGAGAAGAAGAAGGATTCTGGGCTGAACTGAGGACCAAGGGTTTACTGTCTGAAAAAGGTGCAAGGGGAAGGAGAGCCCCAGAGCACCTGCATTGTGGGTATGCCCAAGGCTGGCAGGGGCTTCCTTCCCCTGGGCAGGGCTCTAGCCTGGGGCTACAGGGCCTTGTATGTGTCACCAGCTTACTGAGGGGAAGATGATGGAACGGAGGAAGAAGATCGCCTTGGAGCTTTCTGAGCTCGTGGTCTACTGCCGGCCTGTTCCGTTTGATGAAGAGAGTAAGGCAGGGGCCCCGGTGGGGTGTGCATGTGCCTGGGGGTCTGCTGGTGAAAGAACAGTGTTTAGTACATCCCCCACTACCACCCCTGTACACACACTGCCAGAGGGCCGGGCTTTGTAAGTGTTCTTTCTGTTTGGCTCAGAGATTGGCACAGAACGAGCCTGTTACCGGGACATGTCATCCTTTCCGGAAACCAAAGCTGAGAAGTACGTGAACAAGGCCAAAGGCAAGAAGTTCCTCCAGTACAATCGCCTGCAGCTCTCCCGCATCTACCCCAAGGGCCAGCGACTGGACTCCTCCAATTACGATCCTCTGCCCATGTGGATCTGTGGCAGTCAGCTTGTGGCTCTCAATTTCCAGACCCCAGGTGAGGAGGGAGTTCCCTGTGGGCAGGAAGAGGCGCTTAGAGCAGTTGGACTGGACCACACCGTAATCCTATTCTGTAATCCCATTCTTCTAGACAAGCCTATGCAGATGAACCAGGCCCTCTTCATGGCCGGTGGACACTGTGGCTACGTGCTGCAGCCAAGCACCATGAGAGATGAAGCCTTTGACCCCTTTGACAAGAGCAGCCTCCGAGGACTGGAGCCCTGTGTCATCTGCATTGAGGTGGGTCTGCTTATCTGGGGCCTCAGAATGGGAAAGGACTGAGGAATGTTGGTGCTGAGCTTACCAAGAAGTAAGGGACTGGTCATTGGTAAGTGGGGGAAGGACACAGAGCCAGAGGCGAGCAGCATTTTCTGTCGTGTCTGTGTGGGGATAGGGGAACTGGACCTGAACATATTCTTGAGCTCAAGGAAGACCAAATTGTCCTCTGAAGTGGAAAGCCAGCTACACAACCTCCCACAGGCAACTGGGCTGACCGTGGCCAGTTCTTGGTACAAAAGAGGCAGGTTGTTCAGTAACATAAACCTGTGAAAAGTCACTGCCTGGCACAAATAGTCTGGTCAGAGTGGCAAAGAACAGGCTGGAAGGGGCCTGTGGTGACCCAGGCACTTGTCTGCAGGGGCAAAACCAGGGCTTGCTGGAGAATGATCAGCAGCCCCCTACCTTTCCAGACCCCTAGAGCGCTTCCTTGTTTTGATCAATCCTTGAGCTCCCCAGCATTTGTGACAGAGGACAACGTGCTGCTGTGGGAATCGGCAGGAGTGGCCCGAACAGGGTCTGGAAGGAATGAGGGCAACCTAGGGCCAGCTGTACGTCCGGCAGTAGTCGGCAGTAGAGCCACAGGTGAATGCAGCTGTTCCTCAGACTTCTTTTTTTCCCTGAGGGGAAAGTAAAAGATTCCAGTTTTGGAAGGGGCCGACATGGATTTAACATGAAGTAGTTTGCAAAACTCACATGAAATTTTTAGCCAAAGCTCAAATTTTTAAGGGCAGCAGCTTGCTCTGTGGTGACTCAACCAGGGACCTAATATGCCCAGCAGGGGGCGCGCAGCCTCTACTGCACATTTGCTGCCTAAGCCTCTGGTGTAGGGATGTTGGGGAACGCAAGGACAGTCCTCATCCTGTCTTTGCCTGCCCCATAGGTGCTGGGGGCCCGGCATCTGCCAAAGAATGGCCGAGGCATTGTGTGTCCTTTTGTGGAGATTGAGGTGGCTGGAGCAGAGTATGACAGCACCAAGCAAAAAACAGAGTTTGTAGGTAAGCTAGCCCTCCCCTGTTGCCGCTGTCATTCTCCTGGGGTGCTGAAGGCATCTCCCCATCAGTCTCCACATCCATAATTCAGCCTGAGATTTTGCCTTGCTTTTACAGTGGACAATGGGCTGAACCCTGTGTGGCCAGCCAAGCCCTTCCACTTCCATATCAATAACCCTGAATTTGCCTTCCTGCGCTTTGTGGTGTATGAAGAAGACATGTTTAGTGACCAGAACTTCTTAGCTCAGGCTACTTTCCCAGTGAAAGGCCTGAAGACAGGTAAGGAACCCTTCTTTGACACAGTGCCCCACAGTCTTGCCGCCAGGGTGGGGCTGGGCCCCTTGCTTGGTACCTGCTAGGCTGAGGCAAGCTTTTCTCCTAGGCTATAGAGCAGTGCCTCTGAAAAACAACTACAGTGAAGACCTGGAGTTGGCCTCCCTGCTCATCAAGATTGACGTTTTCCCTGCCAAGGTAAATTCAGCAAAGTGGGCTGGCCTAGAGTCAACAGAGAGCCAGGCAGTAGCCTCTGAGGTGCAGAGGAGACCTTGACCTCTGTGTCCTTGACCTTATTAAGCAGGAGAACGGTGACCTCAGTCCCTTTGGTGGTACATCCCTGCGGGAACGGGTCTCTGATGCCTCAAGCCAGCTGTTTCATGGGCGGGCTCGGGAAGGCTCCTTTGAAGCCCGCTATCAACAGCCATTTGAAGACTTCCGCATCTCCCAGGAGCATCTCGCAGATCATTTTGACAGTCGAGAACGAAGGTGAGGGGATGGGGAGGGGAAGTTGGCCAGTGCTGGAGCTTGGAGGAGCCAGGAAGAATAGCACTCTGTTAAGTCTTATCCTTTGATGGCCTGCTCTTACATTGAGAAACAATAATGTGGATTTGGGCTGCCCCATCTGGCTACAAAACCAGTAAGGATACTTCCCTTCTGTCTAGGGCCCCAAGAAGGACTCGGGTCAACGGAGACAACCGCCTCTAGTTGTGCCCCCACCATGGAGAGTAGCAGGTGCTGCGTGCCTTGTGGAGTGCCATGAACTGAGTTTTCTGGGAGCGGCCTGCTGTGGCAGCTTCCTGGTCTCGCAGCCTGGAGCCTGGATTCCAGTGATGAATGCTAGAGAAAACCAAGCCATTAATGAGATGTATTGTTTGGGGCCTCCATGCCCAGCTGTGGGTGAAGGCAAAATACTGTACTGTGTCTCGCATTAAGCACACACATCTGGCCCTGACTTTGAAGGTGGGGTCCTCCATCTTTTGGGACCAGGACCTGGGCCGAAGCCCCTTGAAGAGAGAAGCCGCCTCAGCCAGTGGCATAGGTGGCTTCAAGGAGCTGCTGACATTCCTGAGTGGAAGAGGAGGAAGAGCCTTACTGGGCCAGGGAAACAAAAGTTTACATTGTCCTGTAGCTTTATAACCACAGCTGGTCAGGGTGAGAGGGTAGATGCCCCCACAGTTTGGCCCTGGAGTCAGGACAGAGGAATGCAGGGCCTGTTTAGAGAAGGCCCTGCCCTGCCCGAGGAGGAAGACACAGCACAAGGGCACATTGCCCATGGCCGGGACACTACCCAGCCTGAAAGATACAGGGGATCATGATGAAAATAGCAGTATTATTTTTTTCTTCTCAGTGGTATTGTAGTTAAGTTATTCACTCCTCCTGCTCCTCACCCTCAAAGGGAACCCCAGCACAGAGCCTTTGAGAGTAGCCACTCTGTGTGGGGTAACCATGTTGGATGGGGCACAGTGTCAAGGTGGTAAGGCACTGTGGAGAAGGGAGGAGGGAGAAAAGGAGAGGAAGTAGCAAATCCTATCCTGATGAGCTTTTTTGTTTATAAGGCAAAAAAGACTCAGTACGCTCTTCCTTAGAAATGAATGGGGATAAAGGAGCTGCCTGTCTTGTGGGTCAGGTAGCCGGTGCCCAATGAAGCTGCTGCTCAGTGCGGCTTCTGCGTAGCTGGTAGAGATGCAAAGGAGATGGGAAGGTTGGGAAGGTAACCACACCTCTGAGGACAGAGGTTGGGGTCCAGGCCCGTGGGCGCAAAGGTGCCTCAGCATAGCCAGCATTCAGCACACGCAAACCCACTGCCCACATTTGGGCTCAGGGTTGGCCATTTGCTAGTTCTGCTGCCCTCTTAAGATCTGACTGCCAAATAAATCATCCTCATGTCCTTTTCTCTTTTAACATGTTTGCTTCTTGCCGGGAGGGGGTGATGATGATGGTGGTGGTGCGTTAGCTTAGGGAAGCATGGTGGTTATTTGGCAGTAGAAGCAAGTGTGGCGTTTCTGGAAACTTGTGAGGTCAAACAGCTCTTCCCTGTGGCTTGAAAGTGTGAGACTACCTTCTTTGCCACTTCATCTAATAATGATATGGTTGGATGGAGTACATCCTACCTAGGATAGGAAGCCCAGTCTCCACTGGACAGCCAGAGCCTCTGCTCCCATTGTGGAAACGCCTCTTACTGAGGTTCTCTTGTAGCCCTCTGTGCTGGAGCAGAACTGTCAACAAAGCCATGAGGACCCTGTGCTGAACCGGCTGTGCTGGCTGGGTCTGCAGCTTTCTTCCAGAGTTTTTCTGTCCCATGACAGACAGTAAGGGGTCCTTTCTCACAGGATATAGTGGCTAGAGATTTATTGGGCCCTCACTATCCCTGCTTTCCCACTTCAGAGCCTTGAACCCAGGAGAAGGTAGGGAGGGGCGTTTGCTGACACTGTGACTTTGCATTGCTGTGTGCCAGCCTTGCTTGGTGCTAACCACCTTTTCATCAATACCTATCTCCATTTTCTGAATAAGCATCCCAGGGGAGACTCAGTTCTGCCTTCCCTAAGTAGCTACAAACCCGAGGTTCACCTGTCTTGGCCTCTTGCCATATACCTGTGTCTCTGCTGCTATTTTGATCCTTCCCTCAAATGAGCAGATTTAAAGATCATGTTCCTCTCAGTCCTCCAGGTGAACCTGACTGTTGACTGATCCATGAGGCCCACAAAGGGGCAGATGTTGGTGAGGGAGACCAGACCTGGGGCTTAATAAGTCTTAGCATCTGGTGCTTGGTTGTCTCATCCCACGCGCATGCTGTGTTCCTGCATCTAACAGCTTGGGTAGCACTGCTTTCCACCATTATGACCCAAGAAGTCTCAGCCCTGGTAACCTTCAACTACCCTCAGGTGCATCTGAGAAATCCTGATATCACAAGGGACCCTTGCATGGACATTGTTCACAAGCTCCACTGCACGGGGGAGGGTTGAGAATGACTGGCTTTGGGAGAGAGAACCAAAGTGCAGGATTGAAAGGGAAGGCAGTGATACCAGGAACACAAGTGAAGAGACATGGCCTTGCTTCTGGCTATGGACAAGTCAAGAAGGGCCACCAGGTGTCACCAGTGGACATTTACCAGAGAGCATTGGCTACAAGATCAAGGGCATTCTGCCTTCTTCCACAGGACTCAAAACCCTATGGGAAGAAGGCAGGAGCAGTTGTGGCCACCTTCTCTAGGAAAATCCATTGACAGGTAACAGTGCCCTGAGCAAAAAGAGCAGAAGCTTCCCTCTGGCCAGGATCAACCGGAACTTCAGCTGAGAACTGGGACTAGAAAGACACTTGTCTTTGATGTCTTTGAACCATCATCTCTGACTATATCAGATCTGTTGAGGGTGCGTGTGTGGAGACCTCATTTCCGTGGGTCAGGCCCTGGGCCTCCCTTCCCTAGGACTTCGATAAGCCCCACGCAGCTTCCTTGGTAGCCACCGCTGCCATCGCCAACCAGTGCATCCTGAATCTGTCTGCCAAAGGCACCGGTGATAGCTCAGTGTTAAGCTGGTTTTGTCAACTCAATGACCAGGTTCTCTAGATTCAACACAAAGAAGCTGGCCTTGGGAAATGCCAGGTCAAGAGCAGACCCTGATGTCTGTCTGTACCCTAGGCCTTGCCTTGCTTATTGGTATGTTTCTGTTCGAGGTGACTTCATTTCAGGAGCCCCTTTCTACTTATACAACAGGCCTGCGCTATCCCAACAAAATTGAATTGCTTTGACTCTTAAAAGATGTTAGGTTAGGCCCCCGGATCCTTAAGCCTAGTGACAAGCCCTCTTTAGCAACAATGTGATCTGCTGACAATTCTTTTCTCAAAGGAAACTTGCTCATGTCCTCATAAGCTGATGCTCCAGGTCTAGCTTGGTAATCAACATAATTTCTAAAATTTCTTTGACGTGGAAGCCATCACAGCAAGCTCAGCAATGCAGGAGACTGGTGAGTCTGAATGTTCTCCTGGGGAGCTGAGGAAAGCCCCCATGTCTCAGTTTTAAGGTCAGATTTAATCAACAGAATGGGTTTTTAGCTTTGTTTCCTAACCCCCCCCATAACACACACAGCCAGCCAGCAGATAAGAAATGAGAAATGTATGTACATTTTTATTTAGGAACAATCAAAAGGTTGAAGTACCATTGAGGCCCATTTCAAACTGTACAAGCAATTGTGTCCCTGTTCCCCTCCCTTATTCAAAGCCACAGATACAAAAATCTAGGAAGTGTGCAATTTGCATCTTAGAAATAGCAGCATCCCCATGGGGGACCTTATTAAGGCCTGGGGAGACTGTCGAAAGAGGTCAGCCCCACACCTTCACCTCAACACACCACAGCCCACCTGAAAGGCAAAGGCTGTCTTTCCACTAAAATGTTTAAGGTAAAGGAGTCCCACTCCAGCCAGGTGTGGTAGACCACGCCTGGAGTCCAGCCCTTGGGGAAGAGAGGCAGGAAAATCACCAGTCTGAGGGTCAGCCAGGGCTACACAGACCAAAGAATTCCCATTCCATGTAGGCCTTATGTGACAGAAATGCTATTTTCTGTTTGTTCTCACACTTTGTTACTAGGTGACCCCTTACAGTTCAGCTGGAGCTCCAGGGTGCCTCTGGACAGACAGGACACTTAGCACCATGATGGGTGTCACTTCAGCTGTTCCTGGGAGACAGGAAGCACACCGGAAGCAAGACGGCTTGAGTCATCCCCAAGTCTCACTTCTCAGCAGTCTGGTCCCCTGGAAACAAAGGGGTCTTCACTGAGATCAGAACACAAAGCAGGTGCTCGAGGACCAGGAACCAGGACATAGGAAGGACTGTAGGCCTTTGGCAGCCTCTTTGACATCCCCCAAGGACTGTGTCAGAACGACTCAAAGAGCAATAGCCAGAGGAAGGCTAGCCCATTTCTGTTTAGTAACAATTATGGCACAGTCTGACCCTCCTGGCACAGCAGAACAAAGCGGCTGCTCAGAAGCGTGGGAGGGCTCACTGTTTGGGGTAACCACTGCTGCTCTGTGCCCATCCAGCTCCACAAGGACCAACCAATTTGTGCTGGAGCTCTGCTGAGGAGTGAGTGCTGGTTCTCATTCGAGCCACCCATCTCATGTGGGACCCTGACCCTGAATCAAGCAAACTAAGAATGAGACCAAGCTGTGTAGGCTGGAGCTAGGGACAAGATCACTCTTTAAATACAAATTGCACATTGACAGGTGCCATGTGATAGACTCAGTGTTTCTACTGGGACTTGGGAAGGACTGAGCATGTGCAGCCCTCTTTCGTATTCAGTGTCTGAGCAGGCTTTAGCCTAGACATCTTCGCCTTCAACTCTAGTCACACTGAGTAATTCTGAACCACCCACTTATGAAAGGGAATACAAGTTTAAAAGCATTAACCAAGAAAAGCTATTAACACACAGTTGTCCCATCTGTGTGGTTTGTCAGTCTCCTGACAGAGGCACTGACGGCAGATAAATATGCGGCCCCTCACAGGTGTCCTGGCCTGCACCTGCCCACCCTTGTGGGCAGCAAGAAGACACCAAGTATCAAGAGCAGTCCCTACCAGAACAGCTGCTGTCCCTCTGCTCTGCCTGGTTCTTGCCAGAGCAGCAGTAAGGGTCATGCTCCGGGGAGGGCAGAGACAACAGAGTAGTAACTAGTGCGAATCCACGCAGCCCTGCGAACCACACACGGGAGTCTGAAAAACCAAGAAAGCAGGTAAGGACCCATCTTTGTCATGGCACTCAGGGCCTGTCTAGTTAATTCCCAACCAGTAGGTCTCCACCTCTGGCCCGGATTTCAGGACAGCTGAGAAGAGGTGGCACCTGCTGGACCTGGAACTAGAAAAACATTTTTCCAGTCTGGAGGACAAGGCCCCCAGGACTGCTGGCTAGTATAGACAGGCATTCAGGAAGTCCCAAAAGCGGGCTTTCAGCCCTCTCAGAAGCACAGAAGCAAAGTGCCTTGTGTGAGTTCCTTTCACTTCACAGCCAAGTGCAGGTGCTGGGCCAAGAGTGCAGGTGGGCTTGCTGCCCCATACCGGCTACCCAGGGACTAGGAACACAGACTCCAGCAGAAAAAGATTTTGGGGCCTGTCGATTCCATATGGATTTCTAGCTGGGTCAGGTAGGAAGCCAAGCAGTAAGCAGTGATCACCAGTTCTGTACCATCAGTTACAACCCAAACGAGTCATTCTACTGAAGACCCCACAGCCTTATCAGCCCTGGAGTGTATGGCTCAGACCTTTTCCTGGCCCATTCAACCAGGCCAGAGCAAACTTCAGGGTAGGTAATTCAGGTTAAAATCTCACTTAGAAAGGACCAATTCTCATAAAGCCTGTTGGGCCTAGTGCTGGAACTCGGGAGACTGAGTGTTCCCCAAGCACGCTGACAAACTCCCTAATGTTGGTGGTGAGGCATGTGCTCTCAGATGCTAAAGAAGGCTACGGTGGAATAAGGAGAACCAGCCCCACTAGTTGCCTGCCCCAGGCCACCTACCAGCATTAGCCTGGACCAGCTGACTGCAGACCTTCATGTGTTCAGAGGACACCCCTTCTCCAGCAGACAACTAAGCTTTGCAAATGAATGTGATGCAAGAAAATTTAAACTTAAAAAATCATATGCAAAAGTGAATCTAGCCAATGTACTTGCCCTGGTAAACATCAGGGAAAGGATGGTGGCTTTAGAAAAAACACAACTCCGTATTTTGTTTCAGGATTTTCTTCTTGGCTGGCTTCCTGAAAAGTACCTTTATCTACTTAGGCTGTGATGTTAGAACTGCCTGAGCTGCTCCAATCTGAGGATTTTGGTCCATAGAGACTAGGAAGACAAGAGGCAACAGCCCAAGCAGTCAGCTAGGGAACAGAGACGAGAGCATCCAACCAGAAAGGCCTCCTCCCACCTTCCATAGAAGGCAACTGTGGGACAGATGTCCCAGAGGCAGAAGGGAGGAGGCAACACAGTGTGTCACAGCCACTCTCCAAGGCCAGCAGGGAACATAGTAAGGTGGACGCCCACATGGCCCTACCCAACACTCTACTTAACTTTCCTTTTGCTTCTAGAGAACAGGGTGCAGGGGCCTCAGGCTGTCCACCTGATAGCCGCTGTCCCTCAGCAAAGAGAAAAGAATTCTAGTCACTAGTAGACCTCAAAGTGCAGGTAAGCAATCCAGTGAAAAGACTTCTAAATCTGGCACTCCCACCTCCCTAAATCAAAAGTTCCTCTATGGTCAAAAAATTTAAGTAATCAAAATATACAAAGTATATCACAAATTCGAATTTCTATTATCAGAATGGTGATCTGGTTTCATCTGTTAGAACTGAATTCATTAACCCTATGTAAATAGAAAACAAGTTAGATATACATGACAAGCAACAAAAAACCCCACAATTTACTATCTCTAATAAGTTAATGCAGAACGTAGGGAAAGATTCATCAACTTATGAACAGCAGGCTTTTTTGTTAGAAGCAAATTCCATCCCACAGCCAGCCTTCTCCTGAAGGAACATGGAACAAATTCATTCTCCAACTGCGCAAAGCCACAGTGATCCGCACTGTACTAGCCACAGGCCTGGAGCTGCCACTTTGCGCCCCGATTCCACTGTCAGCGCACCCAAAGCCTTCCCCAGAAGCACCTGCTCAATGACTACCTCCCACAGCACCACCTTTGATCATCTAGTCTGCTGACCTTACCTTGCCATTCATAGTGTGGCCCTAACTACTGGTCAGGACCAACACTGAGAGAAAAATATGCCAGGACCAGTATAACTGCAAACTTTTCCATCCAGAAGATTAGCTGGTACCTGAGATTCGGCTGCTGCCTATGTCCTGCATAAATGGCCAAGTAACTTCATTGTCCTGTTAGGTGTGCATGGCAAGTCCTCCCCGTAGAGTCTATAGCATTTGGCTGTGCAGCAGGGCTCCGGAGGTGAAGCCTGCAGCCATGTTGGATCAAGTGAGGCACAGGTGGTTTCTCAGACACTTGCTGGCTTCCCTCTGCTGCCCTGTACACCTGCACTCCCTCACACACAAGCTACTTCCCCTGGCAGCCGTGTCCCACACAACTCAAGTATACATCTGTACATTTTTATAAGTATTAAATATGTGTACTGTATATGTGCGTATGTAAATTAATCTGCATGTACACAAACAGTAAAGTTCCAGGTGTCTGCTCTCTAAGGAAGGCAATCACTTACCATTCTTGCCAATTCCTTGATGTTTTGGGACCAAATAACTTCCCTCCCCAAATGGAAAAAATACAAAAATAGACTGCAAAACTTGCCAAGCATTCACCAATCCCTAGTCAGAGAAAAACAAAGTCATCTCTACAGGGAGAGGGAGAGCAGGAGAAACACCTTCTAACGGTTCCAGGGTTTTAGGTTTCCAAAGAAAGCACTCTCTCCCTGAAGGCAGGAGCTTGTCCTCAGACGGTCCAGATGGCCTGGGTTCAGGGAGGGCAGGACATGCCTAGAACATGACCAATGTTTCTTGCCCTGCCTGTGGGGCTCCTGCTACCCTCAGGCTCTGGGACCACACTTGGGGAAGAAGTTTCTAAGAGGTAAGAGGGCCATGGGTGATATCACCTCTTCCTGTACCCCTCGCCCCCAGTGTTCTCAAAGCAGCCAGCCTTAGGGATACCGCGGCTTTAATGCTTAGTCCATCTCCACAAGCAAGTTTTCTATGGACTCAAAGGCACCTTTTCCCAAGATCTTAATTCAAAAGTAGAGTTGTCTTTCCCCAGGTTGGGGTTGGGGAAAACACCCTCATAGGGACCTGTCCAGTGATGTCCAGCACCTCTGGGTCATGTACCCAGCAGTTGGTCAGGCCCTTGGTGTGTGGTAGGGGCATTCTGCCAGGAACTTCCACCTGCAGGTCTTTGTGTTCCAGACCACTCCGCTCTGATCATATCAAAAACCCCCAAGTCTCTTCAGCCACACTCGCTACCAGGCAGAGCACGCTTCCCTCCCATCCTGCAGGAGGCTGCTGCGGAGGCCAAGGTGGGTTGGGCTCTGGCTCCACCCTGCCTGTTTCCTCTCTCCACTTTCTTTTTGCTCTAAAGGAGTCTGGAGTAAAGACATGGGGGGAGCATACAGGTCAGTACATTAGGCTTCCCAACTAAGGTTTCTTCAGTTGATCAGATAACTGAGAAGTTATGGTCCATGATTCAAATGCCATGAAAAAGCAGAACTATGGTAACGAGAGTGGTAAGCACCCAAAAGTCAACCCCTGGCTGGGCTGTATTCTGAACTGAGGGGAACAGTGGGCTCACAAGGTAAGGCTAGCCTGGAAACATGGCTGGCCTCTGCTTGCAGATGCAGCGATCTCTTCAAAGCTGCTTCCTTGAGAAAGGCAAGTGGGGCCAGACATTGATGCAGTTCTGAGTGTGCCTTTGACCCCTGCTGCTGGGGAGGGGGAGGGCACCCATGGCCCCAGAACCCCTCAGAGGGCAGACACAGCGTTTTCAGACATGACATGAACATGTACTGCTTTGTTAACCCAAGTTTCTGTGTAATGAAAATGTTTGTAGTCTGACACTTTATTAAATGTATATAGGCAGATGTTTAAGCTAAAACTTGATTCTGGGTCTAGGAATATGCAGTCTCAACTATATTGTCCCTAGGAAACAAAGGAAAGGTCCTGCACCATGGGAGGAAGGGCTGACAAGAACTTTGCTGCTTGCTTGAAAGTGTCAGGCCGAGGGTGGTTAGGGCAGCAGTAGGCCCTGGGAAGCCTCCAGAGACGCTCTTGGGTGCCCAGCAGCTGGCCATCAGGATGACATGTGGCAGCAAAGAGGCAGGTTTGATCCTTTCACATGGCAGACAGCTTCCCAGACTGGCCGGTCCTTCACAGTAATCAGATCAAATTCAGTCTGTTTCTGAGGAGAAAACACAGGCCTGTGACTCCATGGCAGCTACAAGCTGTACAGCCCCCAGAGCAGTCCAGTCCTCACTATGCCAGGCTGGTGCCCCTGGTGGTGGGGACGACTTCATTCCATGAGCAAGGTCTTCCTGCCAACCACTACCCCCTCTAGCCAACCACTACCCCCTCTAGCCTGAAGAAAAGTGGAGAGCAGAGTGTGAATTAAGGACAGGATGCTGGCTGAGACTGGAAACAAAGGAAAGGTCCTGCACCATGGGAGGAAGGGCTGACAAGAACTTTGCTGCTTGCTTGAAAGTGTCAGGCCGAGGGTGGTTAGGGCAGCGGTAGGCCCTGGGCTCTGTGAAGCCTCCAGAGACGCTCTTGGGTGCCCAGCAGCTGGCCATCAGGATGACATGTGGCAGCAAAGAGGCAGGTTTGATCCTTTCACATAGCAGACAGCTTCCCAGACTGGCCGGTCCTTCACAGTAATCAGATCAAATTCAGTCTGTTTCTGAGGAGAAAACACAGGCCTGTGACTCCATGGCAGCTACAAGCTGTACAGCCCCCAGAGCAGTCCAGTCCTCACTATGCCAGGCTGGTGCCCCTGGTGGTGGGGACGACTTCATTCCATGAGCAAGGTCTTCCTGCCAACCACTACCCCCTCTAGCCAACCACTACCCCCTCTAGCCTGAAGAAAAGTGGAGAGCAGAGTGTGAATTAAGGACAGGATGCTGGCTGAGACTGACAAGGCCTTCAGAGTCCCTGAGGGACCAACAGCTAGAGCAGCATCCTGGCCTCCCCTCACTCGCCTAGCCCACTGCCCCAGCTGCAGAACCTGCTGCCTGCAGATCTTGTGTTCTAGGGGCTCTCCCAGCCTCCTGGCCTCTAGAGCCTTGTGCTCTGGCACTTGGCAGCTGCTGTTTGTTCTCACATCTTCATTTATAACTAGCAGGCTGAAAGTCAAAGTCAGGGCAGCTAATGGGAAGGCTCTCATCCTCTGTGTGCACAGACAGGATTAATGCTGGCCGGGGAGTATGAGAAGCTAGGTGTATATAACAGAGAAGCCTTGGAGACGAGGCTACCACCATGGTGTGGCCAGCCCTGCCACTCCTGCTTTGTGCTGTCATGCAGTCACAGGTAATCCAACATCTGTAACCCACTCATCCCATGTCTAGCGATTTTATTTTATTTGTATGAGTATATTGCCTGCATGTGTGTAAGTGTACCCATGTCTTGCAATGCCTGTAGAGGTCAGAAGAAGGCAATGGATCTTCTGGAACTGGAGTTATGGATGGTTAGTCACTATGTGGGTGCTGGGAATCCAACCTGGGTTCTCTGCAAAAGCAGCCAGTGCTCTTAACTGCTGAGCCATCTCTCCAGCCATGTCTAGCTTTTTTTAAAAAACAATGTAAAATACACACAACACAAAAATTCCAACCATTTTAAGTGTACGATTCAGTATCACATACATTTGCCATGTTATGAACCACCACCCTCAATAGAAATTCTATACCCATTAAACCATTAACTCTGAATTTTCTCAGCACCTGGTAACCTACATTCTAACTCTGAGCTCCATAAATTTGCTTATTCTAAAGATTTCATATGTGGAATCATACAATATTTGTCTTTTGTAACTGGCTTATTTCACTTGGTATGGTATGTTTTCAAGGTCCATCTATGTTGCAGGATGTATGAGAATTTTATTCCTTTTTATAAAGTATTCCATTGTTTGTATACACCACATTTTCTGTATCTGTCAATGGACACTTTCCATCTTTTGGATCTTATGAACATTAGTGCACAAATGTCAGTTCAAGGCCCTCTTCTCAGTTCTTTTGGTCATATACCTAGGAGTGAAACAGCTGAATCAGATAATTCTGTTTAACTTCTTTTTAAATTTTATTTCTGTTTTATGTATATGAGTATTTTGCCTCCATGTATGTAAAGTGCACCTCATGCATGCAATGCCCAAGGAGGCCAGAAGAGGGCAGCAGATCTCCTGGAGCTTGAGTTACAAACTATTGTTAGCTGCCATGTGGGTGCTGGGAACTGGACTGGGCCCTCTGTCAGGGTGCTTAACCACTGAGCCATCTCCCCAGCCCCTATGTTCAACTTCTTGAAGAACTGCCGAAGTGTCCTCCAAGGCTGTATCACTTTACAGTTGCACCAGCCATGCATGAGAGATCTACTTTTCACACATTCTCACCAATACCTGTCTTTTTCTTTGTGTATGTTATCAACAGTTGGTTTCAGTGCGAACTGGAGTCTCACTGTGGGTTTAATTTGCATTTACCTAATGGCTAAAGATATTAGTCATTTTTCATGGCCTCTTGGCCATTTATACATCTTCTTTGAAGAACTATTTATTTAAATAATTTATCCATTTCTAATTGGCTTGCTGCATTATAGGAATTTTATAGGTATTTTCAATATTAATCCTTTATCAGATAGACGCCTGATTTCCAGGTATTTTCTTCCATCTGTCAGTTGTCTTTTTGCTTTCTAGAGAATGTCACTTATGCACAAAAGATTTTTACTTTATTTTTTTGTTTTATTTGAGACAGGGTCTCCCTATATCCCTAGCTGGCCTGGAACAGGATTCAATTTCTGCCTCCCAAATGCTGGGATTAAAAGTATGTGCTGCCAGGCCCAGCCCTTATTTATTTTTGAGATAGGGTCTCATTATGTAGATCAAGTTGACTTCAAACTTACAGTCCACCTGCCTCAGCCTCTTGAGTGCTGAGATTACAGGAATGTGCAACCATACCTGGCTAAAGATTTTAAAAATCTTTTTAATTAAAAAAAATATTTTGAGCTGGGCACGGTAGCACGTGCCTTTAATCTTAGCACTTGGGAGGCAGAGGCAGGCCAATCTCTGTGAGATCAAGGCCAGACTGATCTACATTAGCAAGTTCCAGGCCAGCTGAGACCAAAATTTTTGTTTTGGAGGGCTGGAGTTATGGCTCAGCAATTAAGAGCACTGGCTGCTTTTGCAGAGGACTGTTGTTTGGTTCCCAGCACCTACACAGCAGCTAACAACTGTCCATAACTCCAGTTCCAGGGGACCCAATGCCCTCTTAGGCCTCTGCAGGCACTGAATGCACAAGGTACACTTACATGCAGGTAAAACACTCATAGATTTTCCCTTTAATTCTATTTTTACTTTATGTATTTTAGAACTTAGGTGTTTATATACTAACAATTGCTAAATCTTGTATTAAACTTTTCATCAAAATATAATACCCTGGTCTCGCATAATTTTTTCAAACTATTTTTGTTTGTACAAGTGTATGTATACTGGTATATATGTAGTACTCATGAAGGCCAAAGCTACCATGTGGGTGCTGGAAATTAAACCCTGGTTTTCTGGAAGAACAGCAAGTGCTCTTAACATCTGAGTCACCTCTCCAGCCCCTCATAACTTTTGTGAATCAAATTTATCTCATCATAGTAAAGCCACCTTGACTCGCCTGTAGTTATTACCTACATGACATCTGAGACAGGTAACCACTGGAGATGGTTTAGCTTGGGACACTATTTGGTTTGGGGCTATTCACTCCTGCCCCATTGCAATAATGCATTTAGCAGCCTAGTCCCTTCACCTGCATGTAACTATGCATACACACTCCTCTCCAAACAATGCATGTAGCAACCTTGGAGACCTCTTGACCCCCACCCACATCAGGTTATAAGAACTCCCATCTCTGAACAATAGTATGTTTCACCACTGCTGGTAACAATCAAATTTAGACAGTTTATATTCAAGTATATCCCAACTCATTTGGGTATGAAAAATCTGGCCTGAACTGGTTTTGGATGTGGGTGTCTTCTAATAATGATACAGGGGGGACTAAAAGTCCCCCATTTACCATTTTATACCTACGCATAACTGGGTGTGCATATGATTAAAATCAGATGCATATGGGAAGGGACATGAACAGCAGGAAAAATAAATGTATGAACTAATCTATCAATCAAAATATGTCCCTTAGTAACCACACAAAGGAAGCCCTGAACAGTAATTGGGATCCCTTGAGCACTCACTCATGTGGCCAGCTGTCAGTCTTGACAGTGTGTCTGTCTATAACAGGCATTATCACTTTGCTCCAAATAAAGTTACCTGTTTCTTTTGCAAATCTGTGTGAGCCCTTCCTTTCAATGTGATTACTGACGAGGATTCCTCTGGTAATTTAGCTATTTTTTAATCTTATTTTTTATTTTTCAACTCCTTTACTGCTTTTTGGAACATGTACTTGATTTTTTGCAGTATACTTGGTTTGACTCCCTTTGAATAATTATTATTATTATTATTATTATTATTATGTCTTTTTGAGACAGGGTCTCCTTGTAGTCCCAGCTGACCTGAACTCACTATGTAGACCATCACTCTGTAGACCAGGCTAGTTTCAAACTCACAGAGATCTGCCTGCCTCTGCCTTAAAAATGCTGGGATTAAAGGTGTGCACCACCACACCATTAAATTATTTTCTTGATGGTTAACTTGGGGATTGCAATGAACACCTTAAACTTAACAGTCTAATCTGACACAAATTCAGTTTCAATGTTCTGCAAACACTGCTCCTAACATCTCCCTCCTGTTTTGTTGTTTGTTGTTTTGCTACTGTTAATGGCCCAGATTGTATATATCTTCCTACACTGTAGCTCATTAACACATATTTGTAATTTTCATGAAATTTTTGTTTAAATTATACAGGGAAATAGAAAAGTTACAAAACAATGAAAAGTACAATAGTGTGTTCGCTTCAGCAGCACATATAGTAAAACTGGAATGATACAGAGAAGATTAGCATGGCCCCTGTGCAAGGATGACACACAAATTCTTGAAGCATTCCATATTTTTTGCTCTGGAACTTATTGAATATGTTAATGCTGTAATGAAATGCTTCTTCTAATCACATGGTTATTAAATAATTTTTTTTGGTCTTTTTGAGACAGGGTCTGCCTGTAAGCCCCAGCTGTACTGGAACTCACTATGTAGCCCAGGCTGGCCTT